TTAAAAGAAAGTAATGGAAGAGCCAGGCAGGAGGGAGTAACTTTATTAGATAAAGCAGAGCAAATCTCTAAAATTATAATAAATAAGAAGAAATTAAAGCTTGATGTTTGAAGATTTTACAACCACTGATAGTCTGCAGGCGTTATTCTGGCTCATTAATGCACTCCTACTTAAATTATGTGCATTAATGCTGTTTTTGTGTTTGAGAGCTGAGTTTTAGTCCCTAAAGTAGTTCTAGCTGAGAGTCGGAGAGTCCTTGTTGGCTCACAGCCATGATTTACACAGCTGATCCCACTCTTCTCCTCCACATCACCACTTTGAGTAAAATCCTGTTTACTCTGACACCAGCCCAGCAATTATTTCTCTAAAATTGTAATTTATCACGCATTTGATTAAGTAGCCAGGCTCTTTGATCACCTGATTTTCTTTCCAAATGGGGATATTGATCTGGGGGAAGAGTGGAGCGGAGAGCCACATTTCTCTGTGAGCAGCGTGACTCCTGCGGAGGGGGGTGGACTTGCAGGTGGTTCTGTCCTCATCATTTCCACTTTGAAGTAATGGCGTGTGTGAGGAATCCATTGCTTTAGCCCTAATGACCTGCTGCACTGCTGTAGGGGTGTGTGACACTTCATTTCCTTCCACTTCCTGTTTACTTTGCAAGAGATTTAAATAATTTTTGTCATTTGGCAGCATAACTGCATTTTGTCTTGGAATATAATTTATGAGTCAATGCTGAGAAAGCCTGTCTGATCGCATCTCGATTTAAATTCAGTTATTTGAAGATCAAACTCAACCTCCCTACTGCCAGGAAAGATTACGAATGGCCACAATCTGAGGCACCGTTTCAGCACAATAAATCCGTGTGTTCCTTTTGTCCTCAGATGGGATTTCTTTGAGTCCCACGGAGAAGATTTATACCCAGATCTGACAGGAAGGAGGTTAATCTCACTTATTTTCCTTCATATAATGTCTGTTATGTTCCTGAATTCCGTAAGACTTTCCTGTCTGGAGATGGACCCTGCATCCATCATCAGCTGGACATATTTGCATGTTCATTCAAGCAGATAAACTAAATCCTTATCAAAAAAAGCTATTTTAGCAGTTTTATTTTTGGCACTTTCAGTACTTTCCAGAATGAGCCATTTCAGGGGTCTGTCTCTTTAAGAAAACAAACTGGAGCTGGCCACACCCACCCTACCCTGCACTGGCTGCTTTAAGCTGAGAAGCTCCGATATCAGCAAGGAGGCTGCTTCTCCTCCAGCAGCAGCTTTCTTTGGCACATGAGAGATGGTTCTACCGTAATTTTTGACATCACAAATGCAGACTTTTTCAAATGCCTCGTTTTAGTCACATGATTCCCAAAACCCAACACTGACCCCTTCTTTCCACTGGACGTGAAAGTGTCACAAAACAGTTGTGAAACACTTCGGAAAAATTAGTCACCGTTACAATGGTCAGGTTCCTTTCCACCGGCAGCAAAGTGTAACAGTTTCGAAGTGTCCCAGAAGCAAAGTCACATGCAGCTAAACGTACGTCATTTCCTGTGAAACCACCGTAGTCGATGTCAACAGACAGAAAATATTCCACAGACCTTTTACAATACATGCAGCAGAAATCACGCGTGGCGTTGCAATTCTACTGTGGTTTTGTGACTGTGCATAGATCGCTGTTGCTCCCTTTTTGCATTTTAATTGATCCCGGTTGTGCGTAAAACACAGCTATTACATTACATGCCACTTTCACATGGAAAGATGGGGTGACAGACAACAGATGGATGGTTTTTATTCACATTTGGAGTGTTTATAGAGGCAGTAGAGACCCACATGGCAGCACAAAAGAATGCAAAAGGGCAGTTGTGCATAAAATGTCCCTGTTTCAACCATTTCTGCACTTGCCTGGTATGTTAGCATTTTAAAGGGCTTGTGTTTCTACTGAGTATCGGTGCTAATGCAGAGGAGGTGAATGTTTCTGCTACAGGTGATCGTTAGCTTCTCATGTGCAATGAAACATCCTACAGGAGATAGTCGTTCATCTTTTACGAGCACAAGGAGACGGAGAGGAGGCAGCTCAAAACGGCTCGACAGCCCAGTGACAGCAGCTCCACGTGAAGCCTAAAAGAGACCTGGGATGGAGCTCAGTCCTGTTTTCAGTGCACAAAGGAACGCGTTAGCATGCAAAACCAAGAGAAAATATTTACACAGCTGGACCTGTTGTGCTGTTTGTTTGGAGATTTTGCACAGCTCACTGTGCTGTTCTGAGCACACACACTATATTCCTCTGGTTTTCTTCAGCTCAGGTCAGTTTTTGGTCTGATTTAAATTCATCCATCACACCTTCTAGTGTCAGAATGGTGGATGAGGATCTCTGTGTTTGTACGGGAAAGCAAATGTCATGTAAGGCTTGGAGCTACCTGTGTGTAGCGGCTGACAGGACAGACAGGTGGTTCTGTTCAGTAGTCTGCTGCTGAGACAGGAAACCTTCAGGATACAGAAACACACTCTTTTATTTTGACAGGGAGAAAGCATAAACAGCCTGTTTTTGTAACAGCAGCACTGAGACAATATGGTCACGATTAAAACTGGTTGTGATTTAACTAAATAAACGCAGCATCACTGCATCCATTACTGCTGCAAAACCTAAAATGCTAATTAAATAGTTAACTTTGCCGGCTAACTACTGCCATCTGGTGGAGCCGAAGAGAACTGCAGCAGGACAATTATATTCGTAAACACTAAAAAGAATGACACTTCAAAGTAAGTTTCTGTTAATGAAACAGAAAGCCTATACAACAGATAGGTTGCCTCTAAGATATCATTATAATTATTATTTTTATTCCAACAAATAAAGAAATAAATGTATTTTTAGGAGTTAAAGTAGATTAGCAAAGAAATACTAAAAATGTGTTACATTTTGCTAATAGGATGGTAAAAAGAACAAACAAAAATACAGTTGTTTCTGAAAACCAGATTTTTAATCAGGTTAAATGTAAAACAGAGATGAGAATGGAGGAGAAATGAGAAGGATCTAAACCACTGACCTTGCAAACACGTTTGTTTCTGACCAACAATGAGTGGCTCACAAAGTGGATATACAACGGATGCATACATTTGAATAAATCAGTGTAATTCAAAAATAAACAAACCAGAAGTATCAGTGAAACAGAGTTCTATAACAAGATTTAACAATCCTTACTCCTGCTGCCATTTTTCCTCAGCGTTCCACGTCTGTATGATGCTACAGTCGTAGTTATTCCTGACAGAATCAACTGATCTCATTTATTCAGACAGATTTAACTGCTGACTGGTAGAGCAGCATATTTTAGTCCTCAGGAACTCCAGTTCAGCATGTTTTAGATGTTTCTCTGCTTCAACGAGCCCGTTTTACATGAACGGGTCATTAACAGGCTTCTGCAGAACTCCGTGACTTGCTGTAGTCATTTAAATCAGGTGCTGGAGCAGAAAAAAATGTAAAAAATATGCAGAAAAAGGAGCCTTTAGAACCAAGATAGGGACATGCAGGATCATCATCTCTGAAATTTAAAAAACATTCTTTTTTATTGCCTTTTTTTAAACTTTGGCACCATAAACAGAACTTTTAACAACACTGTTGACTCCGATTTCACAGTAATTGAAGTAACCATTCACCATCATCCAACATGGGATTTACATTCCCAAGGCCATAATAATTATGAGGCAGAAGATTAAAACATTTTTTTTTCACAACTGTAACTTTAATGATTGCTATTTTATTTGAAAAGGCCTTGTTACTGGTTTAAATAAAGCATTGCATTACATGAGCTGAATTATTTTCTGAAGATTTTTCATAACATCAAAGTGAGCACCCACACACACAAATACTGTAATAATTCTAGATTAGCCTAAAATATTGACTTTATTCTCACAGGAACATAAAAACTAAGTTGGGGAAAAAGGCAAAACCAAAGACAGACCTTATACTATAGGATGTGTTTTAATTACACGTCTGTGTGGGTAACAGAACTTCACAAGCAGCAAATAAGGCATAAATCATATAAAACACAATGAGTTCAAGGCCTGTCACATCTCCCATTAGAGGTGGGCAATATAAACGACATAAAATTGCATAATGATAGAGTTTTGGGCTATATCGCAATACTGCAATAACACATGATGTCACTAAGATGTGCACCCTGCTGACATTGGGGCAACAGAATGGCAGTGACTGCAAGCATGGAGTGGGTGGAGGAGGAGGCCTATATGCCTCAAGTGGCATATATTTGCCACATGAGAATATTTAAAAGCATGTCATTTTGACACGTATAAACAGAGGAAAAAACATATCACATTATATATCGTTACTGCACATGCTTCAGATTATATCGCAATATAGATTTGAGGCCATATCGCCCAGCCCTATCTCCCATCTACAGATTCAAACACAATCTCCAACCCTGGTCCCAGAGATCCACCACCCAGCGTGTTTTAGTTGTTTCTCTGCTCCAACACATCTAGTTCAATGTTCAGCAGCTCACCAAACTGCAGAATTCTGTCAACCAGACTCAAACCAGGTGTGTTGGAGCTAAGAAACCAACATTTTCTTTTGCTTCAACACACCTGTTCCACTGCATCTGGACCCAAAAAGTCTTTAGTGAGAGTATGTGTGTATTTGTGTATAATAGAGATGTTTAACTGCTTCAACATCCCAGATTTGAATCATTTGGTGATTAACGGGTTTCTGCAGAGCTTGCTGACAAGTTGAAGGGATAATTCAAATATTGAAAGAGGTGTGCTGGACAGAGCCCTGCTGTAGAAGATCTGTAGACTCTGAGAAAACCATCAACTGATCTTTCACAAGCAGAACTCACAGCTAAAGACCACCTGTCTGTAACATTAAGCAGCAAATACGCACAGGGTAAAATGGTTATTCAGACATAAGTAAGGCTTTATAATCCTATCTTCATCTGGAGGCAAAGACCAGGCCACAAACAAATACTGAAGAGGAACAAAATAAGGATCCAATAATAAGTAAAACAGTAACTTTAATTACTTATGCTGACAGCAAAATGCAAAAAAAGCCTGTGAAAAGAAGCAAAACTGTTGGCTCACTGCCAAACTCACTCGCCTTCTTCTCAATCCTTCAAAGGAACTAGGCTGAACTTTCTGATGAAGCTCTGAGACAGGATGCCTCTGGGTTTAAGGTCCTCCTCTGAGAAGGGGAGGCAGCTTAGGAGGTGGTTTTCAAGCTCCTCTAAGTTATCACTCGTGACCAAAATGCTGCTGGTAGATGAAGAACAGGAGGGGCTTTCAGGACTGTTATGATGTGACATCATCAGGTCATCCCTGACGTCTCCATGTCCCACGTGAAGACTGTTTATTATTTTGTCTTCCGACTCACAGCTCTGCCTCGCAGCACTGACGGGTTGTAAGCTGTGCTTGGTGTTTTTTCGAGTGGGATGACTGTTTTTGTTCGGGGTGAGTTTCAGACTCCGATCTACAAGAATAGAGTAGGAGCCTCTTTCACTACTTTCTGTGTCCATGTCTTCCTCAGAATCATCACTGTCCATGTCCCAGCCATCTTCACGTGGCATCTTGAACCCTCTCACGGGAGAATCGAACAACACTCCTCTGGGAGTCAGAGGTCTGTGGTGTCTGTGCCACCGACCTGCGTACACCAACGAGCTCAGCTGCCTTTCAGGCTGTCTTGACATGAAGAGTCGGACGGACTCGGGCACCAGGATTTTATGGTGCTTTTTCTGTGGCAGTAAGACAGACAGACTTCCCGGTAGATAGCTCCCAACGATTGGACGGACAGAGGAAGGCTTAAGGGCAGAAACAAAGTCCACCAGCTCCTGGTAGGAGGAGTGGTCCGAGTAGGGCACCACATGGACGAGGGGGCAGAAGGAGACCAGGGGCCTGCTGGTAGGTAAAATGGCCAGAGTAGGGTGGTCACTGTTCCACTGCTGCATCATTTCATAGGAAACCTGAAAGTGCTCCACGACTCGAATACGCCCGGCTCCCGGCTCAGTGGTGAAGACGTCGGGCAGCTCCAGAGCCTTCAGGGTCTCCATTCTCTCCAAACTCACCTCAATCCAGGTTTTAAACTCCATTGCCAGCTCCAACAGGAGGGACTCCTTACCCAAAGCATACACACCTGAGCAGGAGTGAACAGTGAAAATTGAGCTTTCACCAGATTTACAAACGTGGCACATAGTTAGAAAAATACGGTGTGGATTTTAGCTGCACTTTCATATAAATATTGAATAATTATTAGGGGGCTTGGCGGTTAATCTACTGAAAGAAAAACACTATAAAAACTCACCTATAACCACATTGTGGTTGGGGTGGCTGCGAATGATCTCTTTGATTTGCTGCGTGGCTATCTGTCTGGACGGCAGGGTGCGGTTGGGGTCACAGTTAGTGTTGTCCAGGTACAGAACATCTATAGTTCTGTTGATGTGTAAATAAAGCTCACGCAGCATCAGGGTAGAGTATCTAAAGTCGCCTGCAGTTAGAAAGTGATGAACAAGAGTCTTCAGAATATTCGAATCACCAGTAAAACATCTGATTTTGGAAGGTCAAAGAAAAGAAATCCTCCATAAGAGGATAAACTGACCGGTGTACAGGATTGAGCCAAAGTAGCCCTCAAAAAGAAACATAACAGCTCCTGGACAGTGGTTAGCATCGATCAGAGTGACAGACAGCTTTTCTTTGTTGATTTCGTCCAGATGGAGCAGGTGTGGCTCACTGAGCTCCAGAGGGTGGATCCATTTTTCTTTCACCTGAGCAGGGATAAACACATCAGTAAACTTTTGCAAGACTGGTGCCAAAAATAGGGATGGAGAGGAAAAAGTGTGGTGATTTAATCTAATATTCATACTTTCACCAGCAGCTCATCCGAAGGAAATATAATTATTTAATTGAACCAATCAGTGAATAGTTAACACTCAAAATATGTCAAATCTAATCTATGAGGTGATACGTTTGTGTCGATTCTCATTCATCCAGAACATGACATGATCCTAGGAGTTCAAAGGTCAAAATGGACCTTTCTTGTTGCCTAAAGACGTTTTGGGAGACCAGGGCTAACAAAACACAGAATAATCAGATTATTCTCCATCTAAAATCTGCATATGTCTGTCCTCGACAGTGTCGTTTGTCTTCAGGATGTAGATGAACTGCTGAGTCTTGACCCGATGAGCAGAGCAGGCTGTTTTGTCCTCAAGGTGAACCAGACTCAGAGTGTTGCTGGGTTTAAAATGCACTAGAATATTATGCAGTTTAGCCGATTTTCTCTAGAATTCCCGAAATGCATGAAATGACAAAGTTCGTCCATCCTTTCAGGTGTTTTCTTGGAGAAGCCTTTTGGGAAAAACATCTTCAAACGCAGGACTTCACTAATACCAACTACAAGTCACCCCTAATAACAGTCCCAGTGACTTTCCTCACCTGCAGTTTGAGTTTGAGCAGAGTGGCAGTGGTCGGTGAGCAGAAGATGGGCCGGTTGCTCCATGTGGAGGTCAGACCCACGGTGTGGTCGCTGTGCATGTGACTCAGGAAAAACAGCCGGGCTCCAGGACATTTCCGAACATACCAGAAATCCACAGCTAGCGGGGTGTGAGGAATAACTTTCCCATTAACGGTCATAGTTCAAGTCTTCAGTGGAAATAGCCACCCTTTAAAAGCTTAAGACTTAGCATAAACAAAACTGTTCATAAAAGCGACGCTGCCATTGTTACAAACATGAATGCTAACCAAGCATTTGCTAACGATGTAGTTGTTTTGCTTTAATTTAGCGCAACGAATATTCTCTTTTCCGTGTTGGCGATCACAACTACCTTTTCTGTTGATTTATGTTAACTGTTACAGTGCTTTAGTGCCCCGCCATTTCTATTTTCAATCTAACTTTCAACGCCTTTTCCGTCTTCCCCTTATTCGGCTTTTCTTTGTACCGTAATTCCGTGTGTTGCGCACCACAGCGCCTCTAAGAGGTTACACATGGGACTGCGCCCAACCTGGAACAAAGCGAATAATGACAGAGAGATGATAGATAGATAGATAGATAGATAGATAGATAGATAGATAGATAGATAGATAGATAGATAGATAGATAGATAGATAGATAGATAGATAGATAGATAGATAGATAGATAGATAGATAGATAGATAGATAGATAGATAGATAGATAGATAGATAGATAGATAGATAGATAGATAGATAGATAGATAGATAGATAGATAGATAGATGGATAGATAGATAGATGATAGATAGATAGATGATAGATAGATACATAGATACTATTGATAACAAAATAAATAAACCTAACCAAACAAACAACTTTTAATTTTAAATACTTAAAATGAGAAGGTACAATTCAGTGACAAAGAAGACATGGGTATTGAAAAAATTGTAAAAAAGATTCAGTGGCACTTACTATTTTTCCGCTGGATTAGAAGATGAAATGTTTTCATTTATTTATTTATTTATTTATTTATTTATTACTTTAGAACTTTAAATTAACATACTGGGTTGTGCCTGTTTTGTTTCTCATTTCATGGCTGAATTACGTCCCTTTTTTTCCACAAGATGGCACCAACAGAATAAAAAAGCTACACATGTTTTTGACAAAAACAATGCAAATGTAAACCATATCACACAAGGTTTTTTCATTTTTTTCATGAAATAGCTTTGATAACCTTGATTTGACATCCTGTGAGTCATCTATCCAACATGTCAGCATAAACCCTGACAGTGATATGGGGTTTTTCTAGCATGAAGTTAAAATATTTCACAAACCTATTTTTTTTACAGCTTTTATAATCCATATGGGAATAATAAATGAGTAATTCTCCCCATGCTCATGGGATGTTGCTATGGTGATGACAGTTACCAATTTTGTTTCCCCCTCTTCTTCTCCAGCCTTTCTCATCTCCCAGTGTCCACTTTTTGGAATTATTACAGAGGATTTCAGTGTGTTCCTCTTTTTATCACTCAGCATGTATCCTCTCTCCTCGGAGAACTTTAATCACACTCTGTAGTACAGTTAATTATCCTTCACTCCCAACATACACACACACACACACACACACACACACACACACACACACACACACACACACACACACACACACACACACACACACACACACACACACACACACACACACACACACACACACACACACACACACGTGTTCACTGTACAGGAAATAAATAGATTACTGCTGTGAATGCTCACCTCTGCACAATTTGGAGCCATTAGTATTGTTTATTGGCACAATTTCAGTAGAATTTTAAACATCTGATTGATCAGATGTCAAAGAAGTCCTCCAGCTAAGCTTTCTCTGCACACTATTATTTAATTCAGTTTCATTTATGTGTATTTATAAAGTGTCCAGTTCACCACACGGGGCATCTGTATATCACACAGCAATTGATATCATGCCCCATTATAGACCAGTTGATTATGAAAAATGCAACGTCAGCTTGGTTAGAGATCACCTGTTTATCAGTCCAGACTGACAAACTGGTGTAAAAACCCAACTGGACATTCCAGCAGTTGTTAAACAGCAGAACAAGTCTGTGGTGATGGATGCAGCAGGGACTGTAACAAGAAGAAGTAACATGAGAAACTCAAGAAGGTCCAAACAAAGAAATGAAGCCTCAGCAGCATCTGTGGACACTGGAGCTCTTGAGGGTTTCGACCCCCAAACTGGGAGAGCGGCTCCAGCAGATTCCAGGAACAACAGGTAAGATGTGACCAGCCAAAGGATGCAGAGGTTAAGAGAATGAGTCTGCTTTTCTGCCACATTTCAGTGAGAAAACATGAAGGGCTGTCAAACAGCAGCAGAAACCAGATGGCTGCACCGTCTGCCACCACTGCTGTTAAAGGCTGGGCCTTAAATCCTCCACATGCACTCATGTGAATGAGCTGCTGTGACCTTACTTCCTCATAGGCTGTCAGCTAAATTAGAAACAAATACTAGTGAAAAGCTTCATAGCTGTCAAGTCGCCAGCAGTGATTCTGATGACTAAATGAAGTTTGGTGGTCCTTTAGGTCATCTTATCTCCACAGCTCCTTGTGATCTCTCTCATCTCTGGTGTCATTACTTATTGATCCCAGGGGAATGAAGAGGAGCCCTCTTCACTGGGTCCATTCATCAGAATCAACAGATTTGTGCAGTCAGGGGTGATGTGGTTAATGTCACATACCTCCCTGGATGATGCACACAAACTCTTGTGGTATTTATGGACTCGTGTGAGGAGCTAAAAATATTCTTGTTTGCTCAGAGCGAACAAGCTGCTACAACAAAGTGGTGAAGATACTCGTCAGTCTCAGTCACCCCATCTGTTTGCCTCTCTCTCTCTCTTTTACCAGGCATGTTCTTTCCCTCACAAGTGCTCGAGTTTTGATTTCTTGACGTCACTCTTGCCTCTAATCCCCAACAGAATTCTCTCGTATCGTCTACTTGCTACATGTCATCTTTTTGGACAGGTCAGCAGTCTTGCACCAGATCAGAGCACACTGGTGTGATTGCTGCCTCCTTGTTTTTACAGGACCTCCCCCACTCACAGAGTCGGAAGTGGAGAGAGGGCTTTTCCTTCAACTCCAAACCATCATGAGGCACAGCACTGCAGATCAACGCGATTTCCTGTTTGCTTGATTTGATTTGAGGTTCATCATCCATGATCCACGATCTGCCAAGCCGGTGTGAAGCTGTTAAAGCTGCAGTTTTGCAGTCTGCATTATGTATAGCAGCATGGCCTGCAGTCACACCGAGAGAAAAATGGCACTTTCGTTTTTCTGAAGCTCTCTTGGTGGGATGCAGGGAGAGAAAGCCAGAGCGAAGGGGACTGAAAGTTTTTACAAAGGTTTCAGTCTAATAAGCATCATCAAAGCTTGAAGGCTTGGGCTGCAGATAGTCATTAATTCACTCAATCTATGCACGAAGACTAGGCTCTGGTCAATTCATCATCCAGATTCAACTTTAATGGAAACAAATGCAACCTGGGCCCCTGACGGAGACGGTAAAACATTCATATTAATCCTTAAGGCTTTTGTAAACAAAATCTGAGCTAGATGTGATTTTCCCGACAAACAAACATGTTGAACAATAAGTGTTCTCTTTATTTGATTTTAGAAAATACACAGAATGAATGATTGTTTTAATGAATAATTGGGAATAACTAAATTTTGCATTTGGTCTAAGAAATACAACTGAAAATAAATTTTAGATTTTGAATACCAAGAGCTGTTGCAATTTTGCTGAAGCAGACATGTTTTTTATGTTTGCAGAGAGTTTCTCTGAATGCACAGCAGGTCTGACAGCTGCTCATACCTCAACAAGCGCATCAAACTTTCTTTTATGCACCATATCAGTCTGTGCATGTGACAGATTATGCTCAGCTAAGATTAGAAATACATTATTTCACTCACCTGTGGTGTTGTTGACTCTCTGATTACAATTCTGTTTGCATTTGTGGTGGGAAAAAAAGGAATTAGGTGATAAAATGCTTTGGTGAAATTGAAATGCCTCTCAGGTCTGATCAAAATAGCACAGTACAATAAATGTAAATTAAACTTAAATATTTGTAGATTAAAATCTAATTGGAATGTTTCGTTCTTTGAAAACACTGACTGAACAAAAACATGAGAACTTTTTCTCTGTTTGTTCCCAAATGACGGAAGTTAATGAACATTATGATGGATGTTGTTTACGTTTATTAAATTAGACAACTGTAAATGAGTTCTCATTCTGACCAATGTGTTAAATCTTAATGAGTCTTTATTCATGCTGACGGCACACCCTGAACACTAAACTGTAATAAACCATGATGAACAATGGATCAGAAAGACCCTGCAGAACTCCAAAGTGTGTTAGTGGATCAACATGTGTGAAAAATAATACCCGAGTTCACAATCGAACATTTGTATTAAACAGCTTCAGAGGGGAGGAACAGCTGCTGCAGAAATATAATAAAAAACAGCCCTTTATTATTTTCAGGCGTTGTTCCGCCGCCCACGAGGCTGAGAGGAAGCTTAACTGTGGGTGCTGCTTCTCTTCACATGTGCAGTGGTTGCTCCGTGGGGACTGGCAGAGATGCTTTGTTTAGTTAGTGGGTGAAGGTGGCCGCAGGCCGAGATTTTGTTGGGTTTGCAGCGTAAAGCAGCCGGAAAGGGATTGGCTCTACAAAGCTGCAGAAGTTCTTAATGCCCATTACAGCAGAGAAACTCTACAGTGGTGGTAATGAGGCACACACACACACACACACACACACACACACACACACACACACACACACACACACACACACGCACGCACGCACGCACGCACGCACGCACGCACGCACTCACACACACACACACACACACACACACACACACGCACGCACGCACGCACGCACGCACGCATGCACTCACACACACACACACACACACACACACACACACACACACACACACACACACACACACACTGTTACAACTAAGGGTTGTAAGTTGTTTTATGCTTTGTATGTTTATGATGTTTCTTAGTGTAGGTGCCCACATCTGATTGGTGAACCAGTGGCCTGGGGAGTGTCCTGATTGGATAATTGATGGGAGCAGACCTATAAGAGCGATGTCAACACCACCTGCAGCTGATCCTCATTCTCTGCTCATCCCAACCTGCCACCATCCACTTATGCCCTGTCCACACGTAGCCGGGGATCTGCCAAAACGTAGATGTTTTTCTACGTTTTGGCCTGTCATCCACACGAAAATGGATCTTTTTAAAAACTCCGGCCAAAGTGAAGATCTGCGTTTTCTCCGTTTTGGGTGTCTGCGTGTGGACAAACAAAACCGGAGTTTTAAGGTCCGCAACGTCACTTTCTGCGACAAAAAAATGCTGACATCACGTGTTTACACTAGCCGACAGCATGGATGCCCTCAGAGCTGCGCTCGC